CTGTCCTAAAAGCATGATTAAGTTTTCATCTCGCGAAAGAAAACATCGTTAAAACCAGTAAATTCATCTTCCAAGCAAAATGAACACCTCACGGCCGCCATTTCACTTCGAAGCAAACACATACCCAACTACCAGCATGCATTGCGGCCCTAAGTCCTAAAAGGTGAAAGGCCCATTGCTTTGAATTAATGTTTCGGTACGGACACATGCAAGAACTCTTAAAAACATTTAAATTCTGTAATTTTTATTTCTTCGAGTTTTGTCCCATGAGTACAAGACCTTGTGTTCTTACCCAACCATTAATTCAAAGCAATCAGAGCTGTCAAATTACTACAATACGTTATAGGTAATTTGAATTTGAAAGGGTTCAGTTTTTTTAAATTCACCCTGTATATCGGTAATGAAAGTGAGCGACTTTCAAATTAATTGTTACACTAGAATCTATGGGACGTAACCAATTAATCAATTAACAAGCTAATATTTTCAATTTTAAAAGGCAACAAATCTATTCAACCTTTTCAAGTTAATGACCAGGTAACATTTCGCCTGACTTCTTGAGATTAAAAACAGGTTTGAAATAAACTGTGACTTGCCAAATAAACATTTCCTAATGGCTCCCTTGGCGAGCAACTTTTTAACTCACCACTAATAGACTCACACTCGGAAAGCAATTCTGCTTTATTTTATAATGAGACTGAAAAGGCAAATGACTAAATTCAATTTTATAACCTCATCTAATGGTTTTTAAGACGCAAGGGTCAGATGTAATATTTGCCCAATTCTTGGCATTTTAAACAAACGTAAACGACCACTAACCTGCGGCGGATAGGACAATAAAGGAGTTACTAAGGCTGTTGAATTGACATTTGCTGGCGACGAGGTTGTAGATTGGATCGTTTTATGCCCCACTGTGCAAGGTAATCCAACCACGGCCTCGCCAAGCTCGATACGGGTCAGACCGGCGCTTGAGTTTAAAGAACCAGCGTTTACGGTGGGACCGTCAAACTTCCGTTTGTCGGAAAATTTCTTAACAGACATACGTTTAACTTGTACAATATCTCGAATACTTTTCGGCAACTTGTCACCAAACAGCCAGGTAGTAATCGGTTGACACAAAGGCTTATACCTACCGGCGACCTCAGGTTAAAGTATTTCGCGACGTTTCATTGAAAACTCATACAAAGCATTACCCAAAAGCAGGGCCGTAACTAGACGCGATAATTGGGGGTGGTGTGAATATTCATATAATCATGTTCACATACCGTAAAAACAATCGCTTTCAAAAAATATTCGACGGGCAGAACACGAGTATATGAATATTCGCCACCCCCCGAATTATCGCCCTTAGTTACGGCCCTGCCTAAAAGGGTCACTGCATAAATAGCTGAAGGATAAACATCTGCAAAGGGCATACTTTCAGAACTAATAGATTTGGCCTGAACCAACTTATTTGCCAGTCAAGCAAGTGCATAAAAATCTTCACAAAGAGCTTTTGAAGGCTTTGTAAAGGCGGTTTTCCAGTAGCAAATATTTTCCGTGAAGCACCTTTTTCCTTTTGTCGATATCACTTATTACGTCAGCATGACGTGGCAAAATGGATGCGGACAAAGGAAAAAGGTCGCTTTGCGCGAAAAAAATCCTTTAGTGGAAAACCGGGCTAACCCCAATTCTCGTCTTTTAGCGTTATCGGACAAATCATCCCAAAGTTCTGGATTAACCATTAGAGTCGACAGAAAAGAACATTTCTTTGGACGCAAATAACGTTCTTGAGTCTTCAAAAGCTCTTTCTTGACCGGTTTTTTTAGCACGCCAAGTCGATACGCGTCGTTAAACCAGCCGAAATTTCGTCACCACATTCCCCCGGGCTATAAAAAAAACCCGTCACCGGTAATGCGGCGATTGCACCCTTTTCTGTTGTGTTTTCGCTAGAGTTATTCTCTCACTAAAGGCCTAATTCCAAGACGAGCGAAATGTGAAAAACTTCGCGCGAAAAGGTTGAACGCATGACCAACATGATTTTGGAATGTTTCTCTGCAAAATATTTTTCTTCGGCGGGTAGTTGAATTCGTTTCTACTCCGTTTCGAAATGGAAATAGCGAAACCAATCAAATGCTTGTGTTTTGGCGAATTTTTTCTCTACTGTGGAAATCACTACGAGAGAAAATTTTCGCACAAGTGTATTTTCGCGCGAAATTTTTCGCATTTCGCTCCTTGTGAAATTAGGCCTTAATGGATAGCGACGTGTCAAATATTTTCTCATCCTCAAGTAAAACGTTTTCGTCGAAATCTTCATCGCCGGACATAGTTTGGACTAAACGCTTGACCGATTGTGTTAATTCATCAAGCCTAGACACAACAGCGACTGAATTCGAGACAGCATCACCACCTCCCCAAGAAGGGTGACTATCCGTTTCTTCAATTATATGCGGTTAGTTGTCAGACATATTAAAATAAAATGCTAACAACTTATCCCGGACACGCGAAGGAAAGACTGGCGCACGAAGGCAGCTTGGGCGGTTGTCCACATATGGTGAATTAGCATAACAATGGCTTTAAAGCAGGTGACCTGGAAATTAGTGTAGGAAAATGCATAATGAATACTGCAGTGCGAAACATGACATGAAGGAGAATTCAATACATATACATAGAACAACTTGGGCGGTGGATCATTCCATCTGGAGACATGGTGCACGGGTCATTTTCCTATTTTTAGGGTATTCGAATGCTATTTTATGCATTTTTAATGAAATATTTTACGTTACAAATTACAAATAAATACAGGATACTTGCATGCAACACCTAAACTAACAATAGCACGAAGACGGAATGACAGGAGCGAAAAACAGACACGTTTTATGATGGATTTGGTATTATATGGGTTTTATGATCGATTTGGTATATTGTATATCATAGATGAAGCATTACCAGGGCATTTTTTAAGAAATTACAACTATTGTGGCTAAGTCTCAATGAGGGCTTTTCGCCCACACAGTTACCCGTACCTTGGAATACCACAATTGTGAGAGGACACGAGAAAACAGGCAGATGTAGCTTATTCAACAAGTACAACTTTTTATAAATGATCGAAAGGGCTCAGCTCATCTGAAAATATTGCTTCACTACTGGGGCAAGCAAAGGGCCTACTGGGGTGATTACCCCAGTAGTTATATAGTTAAAAAATGCCCTGCAAGGTTATGGCCTCTAGTTTCTCCCCACTTTTAAAAGAATTACAATATTGGTCCTGAGCAAAATTTGGCGGGAGGTCCCGACCAACCCCCCCCCCTCCCCTTTGTGGCTAAGCTATGCCAGGAAACAACTCACATGGCCAAGATAAAGCCAGCTAAATGCTTGATATCAGATATTTTGCAGAAAAATAATTTATGCACGCTCAGAAGTTTAATTCGTGCTTGCTGGGTAAAGTATTTCGGATAATATTCATGCCATAATTCCAATTGGTTTTAGAAGGTTAGTCAAATAGTCAAACCCTGTTTAGTTTTTTATTGCAAATCAGTGTTAGGGAATTAAGACCAAATACTGTCAAGGAGAATATAAAGAGATGATTTCGATGCAATTAATTTTTTGCATGGAAACTATTTATGAATTGTAGTGTATTGTTTGAATGAATACACTTGACCATTTCGTGTGTGCTCAATCAATGCAGCTGTACGCAGCTGCGTCATTCAACATTATAAGTATTCATCAGGGAACAATTCACTTGCGATAGTAACTTCTAGTAATAGAAACATACTCCGAATACTGAATACATATTGTGCGCTGAAGATTTGAGATACCATGAACAATAATGCAAAAATATGCGGTAAATTTTGGTTTTGTCAAAAAAAAATTGTTTAAAGACGTAATTTAAAATGTACACCATTGCTCATATACAAAGCAAAAAGAAATCATTGTAGTTTATGAGACCAACGCTGAAAACAGATCCCACCAAATCCTTATATATTGGCAAACGAGTGGAGGTGTAAAGCTTAGTTTGCCAAATTAAATTGGCAATCGCACGACAGCATCGTTGGAGAAGTCTAAATTACTAGTTCAACATCTCAAATTCAGACTGCAAACCCAATATAATAAGCAGTCGCAAAGTAGCGATATATGCGGCTACAAAGTACGGTCTCATAATGCAATTTCTATCAGTGTGTATAACCGAGCTTCCACATTCAGATAATTTAAATCCCGGCGATTTTTAACAGCGAGGCCACTATCAACAAAGTGGTTGGAGCATAACCAACGTGAAATTCAATGGCATGCCCCAATCCGTACATTTGTGTTTTCAACGGTTTTTAGAATGCTTGTTCCTTATAGATGTCAGTACTTGCGCTTTCTAAACAAGTTTTGATCTGATTTAGAAGAATTAGGAAAGAATAGAAAATGCGCAGTCAGAAATAAGAATCATTTTCCTAAAATATTGCGAGATTTCTATGCCATCCGTAAAACCTGGAGTTCAGCTTCAAAACCTGCACGAGACTTGACAGCTCTGGTGTCTTAGAGACGAACTTTATAGGCCAGTTATATCACTGGCTGAACAGGCACTGTAGATATAAGCAATGTACATCTTAAAATACATATTTGAACATTTTAAATGTATGTATTATACTGTTCATAAAGATGTTTTATTGTTGCTATCTCAAATCTTCAGCGCACAATATGTATATTCAGGATTCGGAGTATGTTTTATATTGTAATTTGGAACTTAACAGCTGGATAGCTCATGCAGTTGTTATTATTAACAATCCAATTTGACACAAATGCTTACCAATTACGCATACAATATTTACAAATAGATTATTATGTTTTTATACGATAAACAAACAATAAATAGCAAGTGAGATCAGTAGCGATTCTTTGCGTCACAAAATGACTCACTTTATACCGCGTTGTCACAGAAAAGTTTCCTCTACCCCGGAAAACATATAGTTTACTTTATATTATCACGTACACCGTAGGCTGACTAGGCTCGAAAATCGTGAAGCTTCTACTAAAACAAGGATGGTAAAAATATTTCTCAGTATTTATAGTGAGTTTCCGTAATTTATTTATGTTGAAATTCTCCATTGAATTGAAGCACTGGCGTATTTCCTTCTCACTTCACTACGTTCATCCGAAGGAAAATCATTTTCCTTCTCCTTTCCACTAAGCACATATACACAAACATTGATGGCATGCGACGTGCAAGCACTTGCCTGGCAAAATAATTTTTTATTTATGATTATTTTTTACAATTGACTTGATGTGTTTATGATATGGACATATATTTTCTGTGTTCACGTATTTCCGATAATAGGTAATGCCTTTGTTAAAGTCAATCTACTTTCTAAAGAGTCTTTCAAATACATGTCTTTCGAGGTGTCGGATTTCCATCTGCCTTGAAGTTTAATAAGCAAACGATTTAAATTAGGATTGTTCCCTTGAGAATTTGCCGTGAACGAGGCTCCACCAGATCGTAAACTATGCGTACTATACTGTTTGGGATAAAGACCAATATTAGATATAGTCTCTTGATTTCACGTAACCTTGTGTAACTAAGACGTTTAGAAGCAAGGCCAGTTGCTGTTGTACCACGACGGGAAGCTTGGAAAGATCTGAAGATATATTGGTCTGAAACTGGGTGAATGCTAGCTAAAGAAAAAAAAAACGAAGAAGAAAAGCATGTGGACACAGATGTCCGTTAGTTTGTGCGATGAAAACCGGATTGCCTTTGCGATACTGGTCAGTCTTGAGATGATCGTGATTGATTGCAAGTTATATCCTTCGCCTTGATGCTAGTCAGCTCGCTGGCACGAAACAACACAAAAAAACCCAGAACGTACAAAAGTGCCGTGCGCAGATCTTTAAGCTCGGAGTCGAGCGTTGCGTACTTGGCCACTATCTTAGCTAAGGTGTCGATCGAAATGGGTTCCTTTTCGCACGACGTAGTGCGAGGGGATCGTTTACCGTCTTCTATAATATTACGGATCAAAGATGCATCTGCTGGTTTTGATGCCAGGGGAACAAGATCATGAACCCACTTTGTGGCGCATTGCGATTGTAATGTAACGCTACACGACTTTTTGTTTCTATGCGGTCGGAAAGATAGTGCGAAATAACCAGGGTAGAGTAGGGAAATTTTCCAGGAATTTGGGATTCCTTCACGAAGTTGGTAAATTTTCGGTATTGGGTGAGATAACTCTTAACCGTAGAAGCAGCTCGAGAATGCAGGACTTGAGAAATTATTTGTTTCCTTATAGCCATGACGGCCACTCTCCAACAAGGAGTACAATCCTGAAAAACACAAATCTACAGTTAGGGAAAAGTCTCCAAACATGTTTTAAAACGTCATGCACTCCATAGCCACCCGGCAAGTGCAGTCCCCCGCTACACAATGAAACAGGCATCTGCCTACTCAGAGAGTAATTTATTAGTGAATAAGATATAATAGGCATTCTCCTTTTCCCAAGCCATCCGGCTAGAACTTGACGCAACAACCGCCTAAAGTAACAGTTAACACAAGTATATTTATTCATTAAATTAATTACACACTAACAACAACACCTACAGTATCATTAACAGGAATTCACGCAACAAGATTAGCAGTAAGTTTAATAACCGTCACACTTAAGAACAGACTACGAGAAATTTAGACGAAAAGCTGTGAGATACCCTGTCCACGAGCTGGAACCAAGAAGGGACTTACGATTATTGCCATGCATTAAAACTGAGTTACCAACAAATACAATGTAATCCTTGATGGAGGCAGAAAACCGGGAAATAAGAAGAGGCCAGAGAA